TACTCACCCCCATGCCCAGTCCTGGGGCCTCGGAAGCTTCTTCTGCGGTTCCCACCCTTGACCTCTGAGGAACTTGGAAATCTCCTGCCCTTTGTTTGACCTCTGCCACCCCCGTGGTTCTTCTTCTCAGATGCGAACTTCTCCAATGGGCCCATTCTCTCCAATTTCTGCTGCATGGGGCATTGCCCTCAGCACTGGCTCTTTCCCGCCAGCATTTCAATAGCTCAGGTGCGTCTTGTCTCCCTGCACACTTCTGGTGTGGGCGGCCAGCTGCAGAGTCGCTGCCACTGGCCTTTGTCCCTGTAGATCTAGTTCTCTTGTGTCCCTTGCTGGAAGCCATAATAATGGGACGGTGCCCTATCACCCTTGCCATCCTGATAATTATCAACCACACTCCCCTTCACTCTCCAAAGCATCTTGTTTTGGAGGACAAGTTAGATGCTCAGTTTCACCCTTACTCCCCTGCCTGACCATCACAGAAACCCAAGAGTCACAGCAACCCTCCCTCTGCCACTATCCCCGGTCCTCCCCAGTCACCATGTATGCATGCTCCTCCCCTGCCCCTTCTTACCCCGGATGAGCCCCATCCTTCCGGGGCTGCTCTAACCAGCACTCTGGGTGTCAGGAGCCCTGTGTCCCACCTCCACTAATAATAATCATTTTGTGACCACAGGAGCCCCGGTTTTTCTGCTCTGTGTGTAAAGAGAAGGATGGGAGGCGGGCTAGTTAGCTCTGAGGTCTCTTTGAGCACGGGAAGTCTGAGATGCCACCACCTGTGTCCCGACTTCTGTCCCTGCTCTGGGCCCGTGAGGGCAAGAAGGTGGCCCCAGGAGGCAGCAACACAAATGCTGCGAGCCCAGGGTGGTGTGGGGCTATGTCCGCTTTCTGGGACATAAAAAGTCACCTGCTTTCTGGGAAGGAGAAAGGAGCCGAGCCTGCCTAGAAACCTAAGGGACAGCAGGACTCCTGTTCCTTTTCTCTAATGCAATGCACATTCCCCACTTAAAGGCAATTTCTTCACTTCAAAAGGATTCCAGCTGGTGAAATTCAAGGTGAAGAATGAGCCTCAGTCAAGAAGCTTCTCAGGGTCCTTTCAGTTTGCATTGTCTTCAGAGGGATGCATTTTAAGATGTTTGCCTCTTAATATTTGTCAAAGCACCCGGAGAGAAAGCTTCTTTGTATTTCGACACCTCTCAGCTCTCAGGGTTGTTGGCACAGGAACCATCCACATTTCCCTGCACAACTTTGCCTTTTGGGAAACCCGCTGGACTCGTCTCCTGGCTTTCCCCTCCCCAGCCCTCAGCCCCCACCCACCTTGGGTGGAGGAGAAACTAGGGCTGGCTTAGGGTCCCCCAGGCTCACCTGGACACCCAGCGGCTTAAAAGGCAAACGGTGGAACTCACACATCTCACGTTCACACTCCAGGAGGTGTCCTTCCACCTGCTATTCATTCATTCTCTACTCACTCACCTGGTCATGGGGTCTGCAATGTTGGTAAGGGGCTGTGGCGGCGGGCGGCGGGGGGGGGTGTCTTACTTTCCTAGAGCTTATACACTGGCCAAGGCTCTGGGAGATAGAAATAAGCAACCACAATACAAGCCAGAGGCAGTAAACCCTAAATCTGGTGGGTAGGGGATATTTAAAAAGCTCAGAGAAAGAAGAGACCAGCCAGGGATGAGGAGAGGGCTAAGAGGGAGGCAGTCAGGGAAGGCTTCTTAGAAGAAGAGGCATTTTGGTGCAGGCAGGGTGTCCCAGAATGCAGGGTCCAGATATGGGCAGTGGCCTGAGCAAAGGTGTGCAGGCAGGAAGACCTCTGGTAGGCACGGAAGCACTGTCCCAGGCCCACTGCACCCCTCCTTCCAGGGCCTCGGGGCTTGCTTGGTGATGGTGGGAGGCTCCCAAGGCATGCCCCACCAGCACCTGCTGCTTTGGTAGCATTGCTTTAATCACCTTTGAAACAAGGCACTTTCCTCACATAGCCAATTCTTACCTGCTTGCCCTTTCTTACCAGGCCCTGGGCCCAGAGGAAATGCTTTCAATCCTCTTCTGTGTCACTGAGGGCTCCCCCTGCCTGCATTTTTGAGGGACCTTATTCCCAGGATAGCATCCGCTTTTCCAGTTGCTCTTTCTCTGGAGGTGTTTGCTCCCTCTACCCCTTCAGGGAAGCTCTACCCATCTTCTCATTTCCCATTGTCCCCGGCCTGTCTCCCCCTCTTCATCACTACCCTCTGTAGCAACCACTGCTTTCTGTCCCAGGAAAGCTTCATTCAGCAAGCCCTCCCCAACGGTACCAGCACCCTGATGTCTCCCCTGAGAGCCATTGCCAGTGGTCTGGTGGTCAAGCCTTTGGAGTTGGGCAGACCTGGCTCTGCCACTTTCCAGTTCTGCACTTGCTCTGATTAATTCCTTCTACAGGAACTTCTCTTGTTTTTCTGACCCGATATCTTTTCCCTCTTCTGATAACTAGCACCTTGATTCTCCTTTGGAGGAACCATCCTTTTCTGCTCTCAGCCTTTGTAGATTTAATGGGGCTACCCAGGGTCATTAGTTCAAGGATAGGCATGTGATCTAAGCAGGACAAATCCTGGGATATTTAATGGTTGAAAAGCCTCAAATCTATTCCCGCTGGGATTGATAAACTAGTAACACAAATCTGAAACTGATGGGGTTGTCTTTGCCACCACAAGGAAAGAGTCTATTTACACATAAAACCAGCTTAGAAAAAAGTAGAGAAAAAGGGAAAAATAGATTTCTGGTGATGTTGTTTGGGCACCTGGATCCAACCATGCCTGAAGCCATCCCTGGAGTTTTCAGTTTGTGACCCAACAATTTCTTCCCTCTTTGGCATAAGCCAGTTGGAGCTGGCTTTTGTCACTTGCTAGTAAGAGTCTCAACTAAAGAAATACTTCAATTGCAGACTTGATGAAAATTTTAAATGAAATGACACATGAATAATATCCAGCATAAAGTGGGTACCACTCAATTGTTTTTTTTTTTTTTTTTTTTTGGGAACTCTAACTGAATCTGCCTTGTCAAGCATCAGTTAAATTTCCAAAAAATGTCAGGTTCTATAGTAGTAGAATATTACTTTTTCTTCCTCTGTTTCCATCACTTTGACCAATTTTTTCTTTGTGAAATCTCTACCCTCCTTGGCTTTCTTAACACAGCTCTGTGTCCCTCATAAGTCTCAGGGTTTTCTCCCCCATCCCGCCTCTGGACTGAGACAGGGTGGGAAATTTCATGACCTGGTGGGGGTGACGTCTTCTCTGCATTCCATGCCCACACCCCAGGACAATCCATGTGGACCAAGCTGAATCAAATGTAGACTTCCCAAGCTTGCTTCAAACCAAGTACACCAGGTACTCAGAAAAGTCTACACTGCCATCTACTGGACACCTGCTATAATATCATGCAGAGTTTGAGAATCCCTCCAGGGACAGTCGCTGGGCTACGAAAGTATTTTGGTTCCACCTCATTACTCCTTCAGTGGCAGAGCCAGGGACAAGTGCATTAATGGCAAAGTTGAGCATCTTGTCACAGGAGCAGCATTATACTCTTCTAAAGGACTGGGCTCCTGCCCTGCTTCTGCAGCCCTCCATGTCCTGTTCCAAGTGTTAGAATCTTACTTAGTGGCCAAAGTCTCCTCGGCTTCTCCCACATGTCCACCGCTGTGACCCAGGCCACGGGTCTCCAGGGAGGAGGGCTGACAGGTGCATGTGTGCACGTGCGTGTGCATGCATGGTCATGTGCGTGAGGCTTGGCAGGGTTGAGGGAGAGGAGACCCAGAAGGCCTCCTCATTGCTTGCTTAGCTTTCCAAAGGAAAGGATGCTTGTCACGGTGGCAAAGACGATAGCCAGTCAAAGCTTCATGTTCGCAATCCCATAAATTGTGGGACACATCGCAGTCTATTGGTTCTGTGATAGTGAAAACAGTTCTGGAAATAGAGAAAAATCTACCCTCTACCTCGGAGGAACCTGCGATCCCCACCGCAGCACTTGCTATTTTGTTGTGTTTGTCCTGGCTGCCATCAGGCCTGATCAACAGCAGCACTGAGAGTGCCCAGGCCGGACAGACAGAGAGAAAGAGCCGGCAGGACCGGAAGGCTGTGCGCGTTGTGTGCATGCGGGGTCACGTCCTTCCGTCTCCACCCATCTGTGGCCTGGTTCCTGGACACATCGCGGTCCTTGTACGTAGGTTGCCCCAGGCACCTCCTAGTAAAACACGGCAGACGAAGCGAGAGCCGCCCTCCACCGCCGACACTCTGGGGGCTCAGTGTGGCCCAGGGGTCAAGGAAGAAAGGAACAGCGACGAGAACACTGGAGCAGCACCTCCAGGACCTGGCCTGGCCGCTGGAGGGAGCAGCCACAGTCCCACTTGCTACTCGCATGGCCCTTCCCCAGGCTACCACATCCCCAGACTAAGGGAAGCTTCCAGAACAAGGTAGTACTAGTCATTTCCCAGTAGAAAGAATACTTCTTCCAATTCCTAAAAATGCTTCAATCTTCTATTTCAGACAAGCCTGAGCAAACTCTTAGGTGGGTCTCATATTGCAATGATGGAGTCAAGATGCCCTTCTCTGCTTGCTTAGCCTACATGAGAAGCACTGCCCATGACAAACTAGCTCCTCCGCATTCAGAAGATCATTCGGAAAGCCCAGCCACCTCGCACCTTGAAAAGGACTCCCTCTCTCCTCCTTTTCTCTGCCGACTCCAAAGCACACACCAGCTGGTCTCCACATACACTGAGGAGCCAGGCTCCTCCGCGAGCAGGCAAAGGCCCCAGCAGAGCAGCCCCAGAGTCCTGCTAAAGCTCCCAGTCTGCAGCGCCCCCTGCTCCACCTCCTCCAAGGCCATGGGGCTGCTCTCAGGGGGGCACATTGCCTGTGGCATCCGTGGTCTACCCAACCCAGATGGCTCTGCACAAGGCTTCAAGTCACCCAGATGAGCACGCTCAGAGAGAAACCAAGCTCTCCTCCTCCACGCCAGGCTTGCTCACTTACCTCCAAGGCCCCAGGGAACTTGACTACGGGCTTAGCCCAGTGGGTGATCTTTTGTCTGTAGTTGTTGCAGTCAGGAACAAACATGCAGCCAATGTTCCCCAGCTCTGGGTAGAAAACTTCAAGGCCCCTATGGAGAGAGGGAGATGGTCAGCCCATGTCAGTTCTAGGAGAGCCTGGAGGGCTCACTCGCTTCAGTCTAGCACCATTGAGAATGTGGAATCAAGTGGGATTGAATCCTAGGCCTGCTATGAACTAGTTGTGGTCACTTAACTAGTGTGATCAGTGTGGTTTAAGAGTTACTTGACCTCTTGGTGCCTCAGTTTGTTCACCTGTAAAATGGGGACACTGAGAGTACCTACTTACAGCATTGGCGTGAGGAGTAAAGTAGGCTATCAATGTTTACAACAGAGCCAGCGTGTCATCAGTGGTCAGAAGGTGTTAACTGTCATCTGTATTTACTTCTCAGAAAGAACGTACATCCTTAGGCAAACCTGGTCAGTGTCTTTAAAGTAGGATTGGGTTTATAAGAACAAAATTTACACATTGCTTTCCAGGAATGTTCTCTTTACATGAAGAAAGGTTTAGCAAGTGAGCACAGCCTTCTTCACGGGTACAGGCAGTCGTCAACCCTAAACAATCCAGATCCTCTCCATGTCTGCAATCCTCACTGGTAGTTCCATTAGCCACATCTTAGGGTCAAGCCTTGCCCAATAACCTAGGCTCTCGACATACCATTCCCTGCACTTTCAAAATGCAAATGTCTCCTAGGAGGTAAACTATCTGGTCACTAAGACAGTAGTTATGAATCCATTTATCTGCTTTTTCCCTGCAAAGAGCTGAACACAAATGCTGAGAATCCGGTTCACTGGGAGGGCTGTTCCCAAAACTCCACCAGGGTTAGCCTTAAGGGCTCACCTGTAACCAAAACTCAGGGATGTAAACCAGGCTGTGAAATAGATATTTAAAAAAAACAAAATCTTTGTGCCAACTGTTTTTTTTTTTTTTTTAATTTGCTCTTCCTCTCTGTCCCACTGTCATTTTTTTATCACCTAGACCCAGGGTCTCTGTAGGGTGCATTTGGTTAAGATGATTCACTGACAGAGAAGGGGTGGGTGCTCAGCCTTCGCCAAAAAGCCCAGCGTGGCTGAGCAGCTCCACGGCCTGTCAGTGGTCACCCAGAGCTGGCCACGATTCCCTTGCTGCGGGTGATGCCGGGAGGAGACCCAGTGGGGAGATAATGAGGGAAGAGCTCTTGGGGGGGTGCTCCCAAGTTCTACATCTGGGAGGAAGGTAAGGACAGCCTCCTGGTGGGGTGTCCCACCTTCCCCTCCCACCCCACCCTTCCAGTGGCTCCTGAGGCCCCACATTGAGGGCTGGCAGCCGGAGCCTGTGACACCCGCAGATGCAGGACAGCTTCTGTGGGCCAGCACCCCCGGTGAGCCTCGGGCCAGTTAGCTCAACTTCCGGTTTGCTCAGCTCACTTGTTTCCTATACCTCTTGGTGAGGTTATAGTAATTCCTTTTGGATGTCATGGTTTTGATCACTTTTGAACAAGTTTTAGGGATGGGTTTTCATTTTTCCTCACAGCAACATTTTAATTTTTTTTTTTTTTTTGAGAGGGAGAGAGAGCACACCCGTGTGGCAGGAGGGGGAGAAGGAGAGGGAGAGAGAGACTCCTAAGCAGGTTCCACACTCAGCGTGGAGCCTGACGTGGGGCTCCATCTCCCAACCCTGAGACCATGACCTGCGCAGAAACCAAGAGTCGGACGCTTCACTGACTGAGCCACCCAGGCGCCCCAACAGCAACATTTTAAAGACCGTTTGGTTTGTTTCTGCCATGACTCCCTGTCACTGCAGCTAGCAAGGTCCAAGGTCGATAGAGGGGACCCTCCACTGGCAGAGAGATGAAGACTCAGCACACAGCCCAGAACTGGGAAGGGCCAAGGGGCAGGGAGAAGGGAAACAGAGGACCAGAGGAGCCTTCCCCAGGGGACGAATGGGTCTCCTCTTTTTATCCCAGTGGAACTGCTACAAATGTTTAAAAAGTTTAGCAAAGGCAGCACGTTGATGTTCCGTGAGTGGGCCTCAAGCCACAGAGTGGACCCTGGAAAGGTAGGCACCAGAAGAACAGGGATTAGGTCCGTGCCCCCAGCCCTGGTCACACCATGGGTCACTGCCAGCCCGGTGTCTGAAAACCACCTGTTGCCCCACACGCAGGCCGGGCCACGGGGGCATGTGCGGGCCTGTCCTGTTCAGCAGTTTTACCAAAGGCTTGGATCAGGACACAGAAGGCAAATGTATTTGATTTGTGAGCGGCACAAAGTTGATTAATAGCAATGATCAAGTGGGTCATTGATTAAAACAAATGATCCAATCAGCCTAAAAAAAGATCTGACAAGCCTGAGATGAAGGAATCGAAATTGAATTTAGTAGGAACACACTTTAGAACCTGTGCCCTCTTCCTGCAGTGCCCTCCTGTTCATGGGGTACCTCACGTGGGGCACGTTCTGTCTCCACCCCCAGAGTTGGGGGCTTCTGGGCCAACTTGACAAGGACCTGGGAGTGCGGAGGGGAGCGGCAGGGGGCTCTGGTCCCAGCGTGGTCACTATCTCACACTGCATATGGGGCCGGGGGAAAGGGAATGGATCAGGTGCATCATATACATGTTATTTCATTCTGTACAACAATACCTCAAAGCAGCTTTTGCTATTATTCCCCTCTCCCAAGTGGGTAAACGGAGGCCCAAAGAAAGTGAAGCAACCAGCCCAGGGTCTCCACATTGGTGAACTGAGGGGACAGGGATGTGGGTGTGGCCGACAGTGTCCGCGATGCCCACCCCCCCGCCCCGTGAGCCCCGCCTCCTGGTCCTCCCACCTGAGTGTGACCCCTCCCCGTGAGTGGGGGCTGGACTTAGTGACTCCCTGGGAAGGAGAAGGGAGGGCAGCGGCGGTGGGAGGTCGCTTCCAAGATTATGTTGTAAGAAACCTGCGGCTCCTCTCGCACGCTCTCCCCCTCAGAGCCTGGCTCTGGGGGAAGCATCTGCTGTGTGGCGAACAGCCCCACAGAGAGGCCACGTGGCACGCAGGGGCCCAGGGCCTGTCAACAGCCACACGGGCAAGCTGGGGAGCCGAGCACCCCACCCCGGCCAGTCCACCCTTCACATGAGGCCGCAGCTTTAGGGCAGCCTCCTGAGGGGCTCTGAGCCCCAGCTGCCCGGCGGAACCCCACCCCAGAAAACGGGACACAACAAAGGTGAGCGGCCGCTCTGTTTGGGGAGAACTACCCCAGCGGTCTGACTTCCCCTGCGCCCGCCGCTCCGCCTCCCCGGGGAGTCGCTGCGCTTCTCGGGGCTTCTGTCTGACGGGGTGGTCGCTGAAGTCCCTTCAGCACTGTAAGAGGCGGATCAGAGGGAAACGGCTCCCTGGCTGTCCCTGCGGAAGGGCTCGGGATTCCGTGGGCCTGAAAGCCAGGATGACAGGAAGGTCCGTGGAGGTGAGGCCGGCTTCACAGACGTCTGAGGGGGCTCGGTGGGCACCCCAGCCTCTCTGCACGGTTCTCGGGGTCAACGCGCGGGGCGCCAGCCTTGGAAAAGAGCAATGGGTCTGTCTGCAACCAGAAGTGGGGCCCAGAAGCGAGGCCCCCGGGAAAGAAGGGAGGATGGAGGAGGACGCCCAGCGTAGAAGAGCTGCGGGTGAAGGCAGAGCATGACACCCCAACATCTGAAGGACCATCAGGGAGCAGAGCAACAACTCCTTCGGTGCAGTGTCGATGCAGCGACGGGGGCAAAACTAGGAGGGCGGTGAATTGGAGAGAGGCGGCCCCTGCCTTCAGACGGGACGCCCCCTCTCAAGGGCGGAGCTTCCAGCACAGGCCAGAGGGCTTTGGGGGGGGGGGGCAGCTCCCAGGCTCCAGCGGAGGCAGTGGGAGCGGGTGGTTGAGTGCACTCACCCAAAGCGTGCGGGTTAGATGACTATGGTTCTTTCGCGGAGACTGAACCTAAGTTCTTTTTTTTTAAGAGAGAGAGAGAGCGAGAGAGCACACGTGGGTTGGGGCGGAGGGGCAGAGGGAGGGAGAGAGAGAATCTTAAGCAGGCTCCATGCCTAGCACAGAGCCCAAGGTGGGGCTTGACCTCACCACCCTGAGATCATGACCCGAGCTGAAATCAAGAGTCCTATGCTTGACTGAGCCACCCAGGCGCCTGTGAACCTAAATTCTGATCTCAGTGTTTTTGTCAGTCTACTCAGGCTTGTCTCAGGCGTAGGTAAGGTATTACTCTGGAAGAGCTTTTCTCTTAACAGTGTGTTCCTACTGCTTGTCCCTATACATAAAATTCCTCTTTTCTAGATTCATACCCTCAGGTATTAAGGCCTAACTTTACAAATTCCCTGTTAGACTCTAAATAGCAGCTTCTCTGGGGGCTGTCTTAGCAAGGTGAGAAGCCTGAGCTGAGCAGGGTTCTTGGGGAGGGGGGTCTAGCAAAGGAGGTACTGACCACTCCTCGGGGGTCTGGCACATCCATAATGGGTTCTCAGTTAGTGATGACCTTTTACCAATGAAAATCTTCAGTAGCAATAAAGGCAAACTTCCCCTTTTGCTGTGATGGTTTATAATGGGACATTTCCTACCAGGCAACCTTAGTGTGGTAAGTTCGGGTTTCTCAAACTGGGGGTCTGCTGGTGTGTTCTAGGCAGTCCTGAGAATGGTTCCTGCAAAGGACTGACTTGCAGTTGCCCCTCCCCCAATTCATAGGCCGAACCCCAGCCCCCAGTGTGATGGCATCAGGAAGTGGGGCCTCCAGGGGGTGCCTTCCACTCGGTGAAGGCATAGTGAGAGGACAGCTATCTATGAATCAGGAAGCAGGTTCTCACCAGCCATGGAATCTGCTGGCACCTCCAGAAGGATGAGAAGTAAATTTCTGCTGTTTTTAAGGCGCCCTGTGCTGGCATTTTGTTAGAGCTGCCCGAAGGGGACTAAGATAGCTCCCCTTTCCTCGAGTTTGAGAAGCTCCGAGCCCCTGGACGAAGGTCAGCGGCTGGAGGTGAGCGGGGAAAGAGTGTTAAGTGCAGAGTCAGACAAGGGGGGCTGAACCCCAGCTCTGCCCCTTGTAAGGTGTGCGAGCACTGTGGACAGGTTATTTAATCATCGGCAATACGAAGATGCTCGATACACACATCGGAGCTCCCTCTATGCCCCAGGGCTCTCAGGCCACCAGGACACCAGCGCGTGTGTGGAGGTCTGCAGGGCAGAGCCTAGGGCAGCTGGGGCCCAGGCCGGTTACCCCCAGTGACCGTACACATTATGATCACTTTCTAAGTGTTCCACAGTGAACGTGGGAAGCACACAGGCACTCTGGAATGGGGCCTTATCGTGATCCGGCCCAGCTGACCTCCCCAGCTCCTGAGAACTTGGTCTTCTGCCTACCCGAGTAAAATGGGTCCACCCCCGGGAAGGTTCCACTCCGCAGAGCACCTAGAGGACTGGAGCCCACATGTGAGAGGCAGCCACGTTCCCGCCTTCTCCCACACAAAACTTCACCCACAATTGTTTCACCAGAGTTTTAAAAAAGTACTGGTAAGAGCAGAATGTGTATCATCTTTTTGGGGAGGGAAGAGGGGTTTCAGCTACCTCACTTTTTGAGGGAAAACATTACTTATCTTTCTAAAAGTCACATTTGTAAGGATTCAAATGTACACAAGGAGACCGAGTAAGAAAGGAGAGTTCTTCCCTACTCTCTCACTTCTGATGGCTTCAGTGGGATGCCAGCCTCCTTGGCCACTAAACTGGCAGAGAGAGTTGGCAGCAAAGTGGCCGGGCCACCCTCAGGATGAGCCACGAGTCCAGGACAATCAGGACTGGCTTTTCCAACGGGTGGTCAGGGAGGAGAGAGCAGACGCAGGCGGGGAGAAGTTCATGCCCTCAAAAGGGGAAAAGGCCCACCCCGACACCTGGCCTCTTCCCTAGACAACACCCAGAGGCCACACTCCCTAAAAGGCCCACCTGTCCCACACTCCCGGGGCCTTGTCCCTGGAAAGCAAACAACCGCCCTCACACAGGGAGCACCCAATCCCACGCCCTCTGTCAACTGCCACTAATCTTTAAAATGCCACTTTGCTGGGGGGAGGGGAGCAGTCCAGGCTGTGGGGAGGGATGGTCCCTCAGGGTCCCAGCAGGGAGGGTGAGGCCAGCCTCTCAGGTCCGGAGGCCCGGGGTACGAGGGGGAGCTGACCAGACCCGTATACCCTCTGGGGCTGGGAGCCTGCCGTCTGGAAGGCAGGAGGCTGTCTCAAGTTCTTTCCTTAATGCCGTCCTCCAGGCAGGTGTTCTCCAAGGCTCACTTACTCTCTGCCAGTCCACAGAGGCTGCCTGAGGAGACAGTGCTCCCTGGTTCTGCAGACACCCCTCCCTGAGATCTCAAGCCCCATTTCGGCCAGCCCGCTTGCTTTCCGGAGTCCCGCCCAGCCTTACTTGCAGAGGACAGCATCGGCGTCAGACAGAGCCTCGTACAAACACAAGTCGCCTTCCTCCATGTCCCTGGTGACCACCAGCGTGAGACTCAGAAACAGGACTGCTGCGGCCAGCCTCATTGTCGAGTGCATGGACACCTGGAACAGAAGGAGCTTTTAGAGCTGCGGGGCCCTCTGCAGGGGGCATCCTTCTCAGCCTGCGTGCGTGTCCCCGCCCCAGGGGCCCACAGGGAGGACCAGAGACCTCTGGTAAGCAGCAGGAGAAGGGCGGGAAGCTGCCTGGGCTTCAGCGGCCAATCTGCCACCCGGACACAGATACCTTGGAAGGACCTGGGCCTACTCCAAGCCGGACTCAGTTTGCAGTCCTGGCTGAGACCCCTCCTCCGTTGGAGCAGGGCTTTGTGGGCCACTAATCCCAGTGGCGTTTGGGCAGAAGGGCTTATATAAGCCTCTCGCCCCAGCTCCTCGTCCTGTCCCCGCCACTTGCCCCGTGTGCAATCTGCTGGCCATAGGCCAGCCGGCCTGCTCCTCTGGCTTTAAGGCAAACCCTGGGAAGCTGGTGACCCCAGGCTTTGGGCTGAGGGGCGGGGGCGCGGGTTCTGGGGTGCTCGCGAGAGCAAGACCTTGGTCGTTTTTCTAGGAGGAGGGGTCTGGCTGGGCTGTGCCCCTTGGACAGCTCTGCGTCCCCTGCCCACAGCTCCTGTGCCACCTGCCTTGACAGCCTTGGGGCTGACGGATGGTAGGAGGTTGGACGTAGTGACCCTGTGTAGGAGGGTCCCCTGCACTTAGGGCCGCCCTGGCCCCGAGGCCAGCTCCAAAGGGCCAGCTAGGACAGAAGCGCTCCTCAGACTGCACCTTGCCGCAGTGCTGAGCTCAGCACTCTCCCAAAATAATAGTCTCTGGAGAAGAAGCCAGCAGGGCTGCTGGGGAGGGGGGCAGCTTGCCGTGCGGTTTGCCGGTGCTGTCTGGGAGGAAGGGGGGTAGCAGCCTGCAGGAAGTTGCGTGTGTGGGACTCCGACTGGAACAGGAGAGGGCAGGGGAAGATCAAAGGCGGTTCTCCCACTGTCTTTCCAGTTGATCTACTCCCTGTCTTCTCTGAGATGGGGTGTGGGGGTGTGCTGGGGGGACGTTCTCCCAGCCAGGAACTGAGGATGCCTGGGTTCTGCTCTGAGCCCCGCCAGGCTGCTGGGGTGGGGGTGGGGGTCTGCCTCACTAGGATGCACCACTTCTCCCTCTCAAAAACAAGTAAAATGCCCCCGTCACTCCTGCGCCTTGCTAAGGAAGATGAGATCATAGCCATAAAGTATATGCAGCTCGAGCTTTAGAGAAACTATTTCAAGCGTTGCTTGCTTTCCAGTGGAATTCCTGCTTCCAGGATCCCGACTTCTAGCCAAAAGCCCTTCTTTGGGGTGACAACTTAAACACACTTCTCAATAATTAGAGTCCCTGATGTATGACTAGGGCTCCTCCACAGAGGACTCATTCCTAAGATCGTTCCCCTACTTGGAAGTGTCTCCTGGGAGCCCCCTCACAAGATGGCTGTGAGAATGGAATCGAACAAACTATGGATGTAAGGGCCTTGGGACAGGAGTGGCCCTCACCTAGGGAATGCTCGTCATTGATGCAGAGTGTAAGTACTCTTCCACAGCCCCATCCATTTGTTCATTCATTCATTCATTCATTCGAAATCCATCTCCCCAGCAGGTACTGAGCCCCTCCCATGTGCCAGGCCCTGATGAGATACAGGGTCAGCATGGTCCCTGTTCTCTCCGAGCTCGCCGGAGAGCCAGAGCCACAAGGACGGCGCTGCCAGCATGGTCTTCCAAGGTCAAGAGACTCTTGCCTTCAAAGTGGCAGCCACTAGAGAAGCCAGAACTCTCCTGAATGCCAACAGCTCTTAGCACCAAAAAATGGCTGTCTGGAGGTAGGGGAGAGTCCCTGGGAGAGGGTTGCTCCTGCTGAGCTTCCCCGTGTCCGCAGTTCTTCCTTATTCAGTATGAGCCAAGCTTTTATCATCGAATCCTCTTGATATGATCCTCTGAAGTAAGTACTGTTATTATCCCATTTTACAGAGGAGGGGACTGAGGTATGGAGAGGTTTGCTGACTTGGATCTTGGTCACATGGGTTGTAAGTGGCCGACCTGGGATTTGAACCCATGCCACTTGCCTCCAGACTCCCTGCTCCTTAACCACTCTCCTCTACTGCTCCCTCTTGGAGCTTTGCCGTCCCCTGTCTTTTCCCCTCTATTGTCCCCCTCCATTCCCTTTGTTCTTGGAATGAAGCCCCAAATCTCCCACTTAGCCCAGAAGGCCTGCATGATCTGGCTCTTCCCACTTCTCTCCGCTGCGGCTGCTCAGGCCTCAGGCTCCTTCCTGCCCCAGGGCCTTCCTATGCACCGCCCTCACTTCCCACCCCATTTGGTGGATAACTGAAATGTCATTTCTTCAGAGAAATGCCCTGACCCCCAGGTTCCATTCGATTCCTGCGATACAGAATCGTAGCTCCTTATTCCTTTCCTGGTTCTTACGGGCTTGTAATGGATTATCTTGTAATTACTTGTTTAGAGATTAACTTATAGTTCCCCGCCCCCATTCCACAAACTTCTTGGGAGGCTGTACGAAGTCTGCGTCCAGCATTCCAAGCACAGTCCCTGGCATTTCTAGATGCTTAATAAATTACCGCATGAATGCCTGACAAACTGGCCACCTGTTTCTGATAGTTCAAATTTCACGTAACAGTACCTAACTCAATAAACATCAGCAGGAAGTAACCACTCAGGTTGGCCCCTGGCCCTGGATCCCTTTTGCTTATTTAGCTAACCTTCTCTGGCTTGTTTTCGTACAGAGAGCTCTGACAGAGTGCAGTGGTTCTTGGCATTTTCGAATCTGGTCTTTCTCTTGGGGATTCACAGGACTTCACTTCATATGTGGAGTCCAAGATCTGGGAACCACATTCAAGCCTAGGAAGGCACAGTGTCCCCTTCCCATTGCCAGCCTGCTTCGCTCAACTGCCTTATTTCTGGAAATGCCCATCTCTGGATCCCAAGGTAGCCACACTGGGAGCCCCCTTCTTTTCCTCCAGTGATCTGGGCTGTGACCACATCCCAGTACTATCAGGGAGGCTGAGCCTGTTGGCTTCCTGAGATGCCTCAGTCCCTCCAAACCCCGGGATCTGCTGGGCCAGGGCTCCTGGAACACTTGACACCCCCTCCTATCCCTCCAGGCCTCCTATTCCTCCAGGCCCCCCATCGCTGCCCAGATGTCACCTTCATTCTCTATCCAGACAGACGCTCATGCTTTCCCTCTCTCCTAAACCTTTTTACCTATGCCCTCTGTAATCTCTGAATCTACAGTGAGGGGGAGTGTATTCCCCCTCCCTCCTTTCCTTCACTCTACATTTAAAAATTGAGATTTATATACCAGAAAATTCACCTTTTAACATGTACAATGCAGTGATTTTTAGTATAGAAATCACTACAGGTTGTGCAACCCTCACAAAGTTATGCAACCATCATCACTACCGAACTCCAGAACATTTTCATCACCCTCAAAAGAAGCCCCAAAGCACAACTCATTAGCAGTTACTCCCCATTCCTTGGGAGCCACTAATCTACTCTCTACTTTTATAGATTTGCTTATTCTGGATGTTTCATATAAATGGAATCATACTACAGTTGACCCTTGAACAACATGGGGGTTAGGGATGCCAATCCCCTGTGCAGTTGAAAATCTGTGTATAACTTTGACTCCTGCCAGATTTAACTACTAATAGCTTACTACTGACTGGAAGCCTTACTGATAACATAAACAGTCAATTAACACATATTTTGTGTGTTATATTGTTTTCTTATAATAAAGTAAGCTAGAGAAAAGAAAACATCATTAAGAAAATCGTAAGAAAGAGAAAATACACTTAGAGTCCTGGACTGTCGAAAAATCACCTATAGGTAGACCCATGCCGTTCAAACCCATGTTGATCAAGGATCAACTGTGTATGTGTTCTCCTGCCATCAGCTTCTTTCACTTAGCATGTTTTCAAGGTAATCCATGTTGTGTCAGTACTTCATTCCTTTTTATGGCTGAATAATATTCCATTGTACGGACACACCACATTTTATTTAGCCACTCATCAGTTGATGGACATTTGGGTTGTTTCTACTTTGGCACTATTATGAACAATGCTGTTATAAACATTTGTATACATTTTTGTGAAAATATGCCATCACTTTTCTTGGGTTCGTATGACAATTCCATGTTTAACATTTTGAGGAACTGCCCCAGTCTTTTTATTTTCTTGATGGTGTACTTTGATGCACAAAAAGTTGTAATTTCAATGGACTTGACTGAATTTCAATCAAGTCCAATTTATCTATTTCTTCTTTTGTTGTCTATGCTTTTGGTGTCATATTCAAGAAATTAGTGCCAAATCCAATGTCATGAAGCTTTTCTTCTATGTGTTCTTCCAAGAGTTTTCCAAACTTAGCTCTTACATTTCCATCATTGATCCATTGTGAGTTAATTTTTTTAAGATTTATTTATTTTAGAGAGAGAGAGAAAAAGGGAGAGAAAGAGAACATGAACAGGGGGAGAGGCAGAGGGAGAGAATCTCTAAGCAGACTCCCCACTGAGTGGGGATCCTGACATGGGGCTCGATCTCACCACCCATGAGATCATGACCTGAGCAGAAACCAAGAGTCAGACGCTTAACCAAATGAGCCACCCAGGTGCCCCCCCATTGTGAGTCAGTTTTTATATGTTGTGTTAGGCAAAAATCCATTTTTATTCTTTTGCATGTAACTATCCAGTTGTTCTAACACCATTTGATGAAAAGATTTTGCTTTTCCCATTGATGTCACTTCACCTCTACCTCTTGCCATAACCAATTTTAGTATATGTGCTGCCGAAGCGAGCACTCTCTTGCCATAACCAGACAGCTTACTTCTGAAGTTCTTCAAAGTGTGGAATGCTCAGTCTCCCACCCCCAACATGACTCAGGGTTGGGAGGTAAGGTTGGCTAGCACCCCATTCCCCTTTGTTGCTTCTATACCATGACTCCTCAGCCCTTCTGTCAAAATCTACATTTCTTGAGGCTTACTCCATCTGAATCAATCCTAATTGGTGTTATCTGCCTTCCTATC